CATAGAAGAAGTTCCAAGCCAATTAAGGTAATGAGGAAACTAGGTTATCAGGCTTTTGTCACAAATAGCCAGAAAAGTGAAGCTTGCCAAGGAATCTTACCGCAAAGATGTGATAAATCAGATGTTCCTGAACTTTAGCAAACCATGGGCTTTATTTACTAGAAGAAAATCTCTTCTCTTGATTGTTCTCAGAAGTCCAAAAATGAATGTGTTGTGCATTTTAATCTGAAAGGACTTGCTTTAATATGACTTTCTCTGAGTAAAGAAGCCACTAGGGTTGACATAGAAAGGGTCATCTGACCAGTTAGAGTCACACTCCAAGGACATGCAAGTGACACAATATGACGTGATGTTCCCCCACTGAATATTAGTATCTGATACCACCGTATGATTATATATTTTCATTGTTCACTTGGACAATATTATTGATAATGATATTCCCAATTCACCAATATCTGTATAGCCTCTTATAATCCACAGTTTTATTTAATTTGTCTCTTTGTTTGACTTTTGTTTTTATCAAGCACATCTTTTGGTTTGGATATGGAATTAGGCAATAAGACTTAAGACTTGATAATCCTTTTCACATAGATGCCTAGACTTTCAGAGTCCATTTGTTGTAAGTCACATAAACTCATCGTGGTATAAAATGTAATATAAAAGAGGCTCCAATGTTTCTATCAAGAGAGCCAGTATTAATGAGTCTTCCAAAAACAAACAAAAAAAACCCATCAGAAATGGAATAATATGGGACAAACATTTATTGGAATGATTATGTTTGTATCCATATTTTTGTTTCATCAAAGGAGCATTAAAGGATCTGTGTCTTCTATATTCATTGGTACATATGCCAGTTGACAGTTCTTTAGTAAGGTCTACTTTGCTCACTTTTACTGGGTCATAAATATGTGCTTTCCCTCTATTAGAGGCCTGTTTTGGACCCGTTCATTGGCTATGATGAGGACTCCATGGACTCAGAGACGTCATCCATGGCCTCATTTAGAACAGATCGAACCCCAGCTACTCCTGACGATGACCTGGATGAAGTAAGCTTTCCTACTTCTCTAGTCTTTTCTGATACTGTCACCAAATCTCTCCCTTAAGGGGAAGAAGAAGCATTTAACTTTGTATCCTTTTTATGACCAGCACAAAATGATCTCATAATAGTGACCAATTTTGAGACCACGCTTGACTTTGTTATCTCTTAGAAAATAGTTCACCTATGTCATGGAGTCCTTTTAGAAACATATCTAAAGTTGAGCTCTGTACCTTGAAGACGTCTTTCAAAATAAAAGGTCCTGTCCCAAATTTTTCATTTAGGGAAGGGGTGAATCCAGGAACGAACTTAGAATGAGCTTTTAGATATAACATAAGACAGTGTTAAGCAAAGTGCTCAGTAGACCGCCTTCATCAGAATCATCTAGGGGTTCATTTGCCGTGAAAATTCCTGGACTCTACCACACGACTCCTGATTCAGGATCTAGGGGGTGGAACTCCAAAATCTGCATTTTTCACAAAACTCCCTGGTGGTTGTAGTCTACTCTGAAGTTTAAGACCTTCATCTATAAAACTATGGTTTTTATCATTTATCTGGGGAAGAAGTTGTTGGATATGAACTAAAACTCTAAATATCATTTCCTCAAATTCAGATCCATAATCAAGTTATAAGTTTTTCTCATTTGAATCCAAGCCCAAATAGGTAATAATCAGAAATGTATAAATAAACAAATGCTTTTTTGATTAAAATAAATACATAAATATTTCTGCAATGCCCATTTTGAAAGTATTACAGCATTTGTGTTCATCCACATACTTTAGAATTAAGAATAAAATTGCACAGAATCCAAAATCAAATAACTCTTTAACATCTCTTTAAAAAGTGGACAAATGTTAATATTTCACATTGAACATAGGACCTAAACATAACCTAATTATTTTTTGGCTTTTTGCTTTTTTCACCTCAAGAGTTTGGCAGCTGAGGAATCTGAGCTACGATTTCGACAACTAACAAAAGAATACCAGGCCCTCCAAAGAGCGTACGCCCTCCTGCAGGAGCAGACTGGAGGCATCATTGATGCTGAGAGAGAGGCCAAGGTTAGTGGGCATCTGCAGAGTGCTCAGAATTGGCTTTTTTATGCTGTGGTCCCAGCATAAAAGTACCATGGACATAAAAATATCAATAGGGTAGCTTTCCTTGTACCTTTCTTTTCACTATGGCTTTTGAACTGTTGTCTCTTTTATGCCAACAGACCTTGGATCTGGAGACATTAGAACCAGCTTAGATCGATGCTTTTGTTCCTTTTAGATAGTTGAGTATCTTGCTATTTGAAAACTTACATTTTCAAAGCTGGACAATATTGAATTTTTATAATCCATTTTTTTTTTTTTAGTTTCTTGTTTGGAAAAAAACCCTTATCTTTCAAAATCAATGATTAGCCAGTTTCTTTCCTTAGTTAATAAGTGCACAGCATTATGTTGACAGAGTACCAAGAATTGTCACTGGCAGTGTCTTATTTAGTCTTTATGATAGCTCCCTCAGGGAGATACTTTATGAAAGAGGAATTTAGGCTCAGAGATGTTAATTGAATTGCCTAAGATCAGATGTTCCTAGGTCAAATGTTGTTTCCATTGTGTCACAGCTGCCTCTCATAAGCCTGCTTCAAAAAATTAAATAAATAAACACACACAATACTAATATTTAACATTTATTGAGTGCTTGCTGTAATCCAGGCATTGTGCTAAGCACTTTAGATGCATTTATCTCATGTGATCCTAAAACAACCCTATGAGTTAGATGCTAATATTATTATCTTCTTTTAACAGGAGAGGAAATAACATCTTAGTGGGAATTAAAAGTAGCTTTGTTAACTTAAAACTTAGATTACAGCAAGGATGTGAACCTCGTCCTTGTGAGTTCAGAGCCATAACCACCATGCTGTAACGGCCCCATAGAATAATATACAAGGGAAAAGAAGGAGTGTGACCATCCAGTGATTTTTATCCTACTTCCTATTAGATGGTCTGCAGTGTGCTGAGGAGTGTTGTGAGAACAACTGTTAGACTGCTAGTTGTTTGGGAAAGGATAGATATTATAGTTATATATTTTTAAATGGTAACACACATACGTACATACTTCTATGAGTATACGAGAAAACATGTTCTTAAAAAGCATTATGATTTGGAATAGACAGGTAAGTAATCATTAAAAATGGATGTTTGTGTGTGCCTTCATGTTTATGCCCTAAAACTGTAATAGTTGTGGTTTTCTTTATCAGTGTTTCCTAAGTATTCTTACCAACATAGGATTGGTCAATTAGAGTAATAGCATATGTCTTGTGTTTTGGAGAGATGATGATATCGGAAGCAATTCTCTTTCTCTCATCTCATTTTCCCATCTAAATAAAGGTAAAGGTTTAGCATTATTTCTGGCCATTAAAGTAAAACAAACAAACAACAAAACCACAACTTACCATTGTAAGAAAAGTAGTCTGAAACAAATCAAGATGTTAAAAAAAGAACAATACAGTAAACTCAATGACATAGAAATGAAAAAAATAGATATTATAGATGAAAGTGCATCAGTGAAAACAAAAGATATAATCATTTCAATACAAGAAAAAAAATAGATTATACTCAACACCCATTCAAAGTTGAAATAATTAGCAAAATTGAGCTTGGAATTTTTTTAACCTGATAAAGGTAAACATGCTACTTAACAGTCCAAAGAAATATTCTCCTCACACTATATAATAAGAAAAGGATACCGACCATTGCTGATTTTATTCAACTTTGTACCAAAGAACCTATGTAGATCATAAGACAAGCAAAAAATATATGTATGGGCAGAAAACAAACACAAAACCTAATTTTTTCACAGAAAATAGGGTCATTTACAGAGAGAACAGAAGAGAATCTAAAAACAAATTACTAGACTCGATGAAGTAGGGTCGCTTCGTAAAACATCAGTGTCCAAAAGTGTTGAGACACACACACACACACACACACACACACACACACACACACACACACACACACNGCAGATTATTTATCAAACATGGTCTTCTAAAGTGCTGCGCCTCTCACTTCACTTGTACACCCTTAGTCCCTTAATAATACATAAATCTCACAGATGCACTAGTCCAGGAATTTGCTTGGCTTTAAGTATCCTGAGTTTAAGCTAAAAGTTTCGTATAGAATTTGAACATCTTTAGGCATGCCAACCAGATTTTTAGGGAGACCCTTATTTCGTTGAACTTTGAATTTGTACATGAATTACTTAGCAGATGAACACTAAATTCCCAGGGTATCTGCATTCTCAACAAGAATGAATCAAGAAATTATTTCTAGATGATATTCTTTGAGTTTCCCAGAAAACTCCAATGAGAAACTGCGTCCCCCCCCCAAAAAAAAAACACTAGATGATTTCAACCAAGTAGATTCTCTCTGTTCCCATCTTCAGAGGCTGCAGGTGAGAACAAGGATCCAAGAATACTCAAAAGATAGCTTTCTATGCCTTTCAAGTGATTAAGTGAAAAGAATAAGGCTTTACTTTATTGTGAAATGATATTTTTTCAATACTTAAATTTAAAGTGATTTTGGGTCTGAGAAAACTGAAGAATTGAGCCTTCGGAGAATAGGAGTATTTTCAAAGCTACTTGATCTTGAAGTATAAAACAAAGAACTCTGATTAGAAACACAGTGCGCTTCCTGATTGGGAGGCCATCGGATCCACATAGATTACCAGGGCAAGTTGTAGAATAGTCTTACTTTGAAAACATTTAAGTATAAAACCCAAAAGTTGCTGAAATTTACAAAACACAATCTTATTTTAAATAGAAATGTGTAATATCTCGGGAAAAACAACTGTTTTCAAAACAAACAAACAAATAAAAAAAAA